CTGGTGGGTGGGAATGCCCTGAGGGTTTCCATACTGAAGCTTCTACAGGGAAGTGTTCCCTGGCAATATGGGATCTCTGTCAGGTTTTTTGTTTGTTTGTTTGTTGTTTGTTCTTCCAACAAACAAAAACATATTTTTTGAGATGGGCTCTTGCTGTGTTGCTAAGGTTGGTCTCAAACTCTAGGTTCAAGAGATGTCCCACCTCAGTCTCCCCTGAATAGCTGGGATTACAGGTGCACACCACAGTACCTGGCTCTATGCCAGGTTTCTTATGCATCCCATCCTTCCCAAGTTGCTGCAAGTCAAGCCAACCCTTGCCAGAGATCCCTTCTATCTCCCTTCTTAGCCTCCCTTCTCCTTTTGCTCACTGTTTTTCTCACTCTCCCATCTGCTTGGGGTGACTCCTACTTCATTCCCTTCAGCCGGTCCTTGCCCCTCCCACTGTTGCTTTTAGGAGTCACTCTCCCATCTCTGTCCCAAGAAGCAGGGGGAGATACTCCATTCTTTCCTCCTCACCATTGCCCACCCCTTTCCAGGAAACCTCAAGCATTTCCCGTTGCCTACACACAGGGCAAGACTCCCTGATGCTCGCTGTTGGGACAGGCACACCTGTTCCCCACATACAGAAGAATACTTCCAGTTCTTTTTTCCAGTATTTTTCTCATAGGCTCAGCCAGAATAGGGTGCCAGTTATGACTTTGCTTCTTGTCCTTTCCTCAACTAAACCATGAATTTCTCTAGGGCACACATCAATTTATATGCATTGTTATAGCCCCAACATGTGTTATTCCCTTGGTCTTTACAACAATGCAAAGAAGAAAGCAGATGAAATATCATTAGATGTGTAACATAATTAGATTCTTAAAGATGCTTTATTGATATCATATAGGATATACCATCTCAGATTCTTGTCATAGCTAAAGAGACTGAAGCTTGGAGTGATTAAGTTATAGTAATAGCAATACCGCATGTTTCAGTGTTTTATTTCACTCAGCCTCACGTTCTCCCCCCATAATCCTGGCTACTAGTTAGCACTAGACCCGTCCTGAAGATGAGGGGTGCAGACGGAGAGAGAGATGGAGAGAGACACAGGGAGGGCGGAGGGACAGGGAGGTTGTATGACACGAGCAAAGTCATATCTCTTCTAGGTAGTGAAGATGGGACTTGCAATCTGGTCTGCCCACACCAGCACTCTCTCTACCCTGCATGTGCCCTTCCCGGCGATCTCCCCTTGGGCACGGAGTATGTGCTCCCAGAGGGTGGTGGGCATGGGTCCCAGAGTCGTGTCCTCTGCAGGAATCCCCAGATCTGACAGCACCACATGCACTTCCAGCTGGGTTGGTCCCCATGCCACTGTTTGAGAGCAGAAGTGATGGTAAATATTTAATTGTGCTTCCACCATAACTTTCTGCCAGAACTCTCAATATGCTTTATAAATGCAAATGAGCGCACTCTTCCTCTCTAGGGAGATGTAAACCTGCTCAAATCACTTTTATTCAGCCCCCACCAGAGTGTAGTGCCATCATCAGGAGCTCTCTGTGCCAGAAAAGAAACTGCCCTTAATCATATCGAGTGGATGGTTTATGGTTTTGTGTTCTTCTGTCTCCACAATGGGCAGATGTAAAGAAATGGATTTCTCTTGCTGCAAATTCTGTCCCACAGAGTGTGTGGAAAACATTATTTAGAAGCAGATTTAATTACAGCCCTAGAGCAGGTGATCATGACTAATATGAAGTCCTGGGCTGTATTTATGGGGTTAACAAAACAAATGAGTCCTTGGACGACAAAGAAGTAAAGTTGATTCTTTTATTTGCTTCTGGACTGTTTTCCTCACCACCATCCTCTGCCGGCTCCCTGCTCCTCCAACATGATCTTGCTATGGGGTTGGGGGATGCATTATTCTGGGAGCTTTTGTGGCTTCTTGGCTTTATGAGTGAGGATCCCACTCCTGCCCAACCCCAGAGCTTCTTCAGAGCCCTTCAAAAGCCCAGGTCGGCCTTGTGGTCCATGTGCTGAGATTTCAGGCTGTCGGTGTCAGGGTGGGAAACTGTGTGACTTGGCAGAAAGCACTGCAGCTTTCTGTACCCCGATTCCCAGCTCTGCCACAGGGGCTCAGTTGCCCCTGTTTCAGGCCCTCCTGGCAGAGACATTTTAATAATCATGGAGATGAGTTTCTGCAGAGCCTCATGGAGTGTCTTCTGAGAAGTGTATTATGTAAATTTGGTGTGTCATGATGATCATTATTAGTGCTGCGAAGTGGAGATGGGAGGAGGGAGGGAGAGCTGCTCCAAGCAGAGACCAGCCTCCCCAGCTGTCAGAAGAACTGGAGATGAAAACAAACTTAAGAAACCTGCTCCAGTGCTTATGTTCCTTCAAATATGCATGGGGCACGACTCAATCCGAACACAAACTCACATGAGTAGGAAAATGCAGCTTTCTTTATTTCATTTTATGCCTGTTCATTTCCAGTTTGAGCCCCTGTTTCGCTGGGGTAGCAGAAGTGCTATCTGGGTTACAAGTAGGCCCATGGTGTTAAGCTTTGGAGGAAGGTGCTCCCTGGCTCTGTTGGCTCCTGTCCACACAGGCACCTGCTGAGATACCCTGTACCCCACCTGAACCCTGCTCATATCCCATGCAGGTCACCACTGGATGCTCCCAGGTCCCCCTCATTAGACCCACTCAGGCCCTTCGGCCCCCCTGCTGTCCCTGAGTGCCATGTTAGTCTGGCGGGGCCATTGGCCACTCCCTCACCTCCCTAGGATGCTGAATATCCAAGCCCGTGTCCTAGACAGGCTCTCAGCATTTCTCCTGTGGAGTGGGTAGTTCTTTGGGATTGAGTGAGCAATGAGAGCATAGGAAGACCCTTTCTTCCACACAACTCCCCATTTATCACTTCTGTTTTAATTCCCTTAGTCCTGCCCCTTAGGGTGGGTTTCTCTGCAAACTTTTGGTTTATGACAGGGTTCTTCTATTTCATAATGGGCCCAAGATTTTGTGACTCTGCATTGACATCTCCTCCCTGATGCGGTAAGCAAGGAGTGGCTGTTCTCATGGTGATGGGAAGGGGAGGCAGTGGGAAGGACAAGAGGAGAAAAAAACCCCAAACGATGCATCATTTATATTGTACCCTTCCCTGTTTGTTGAGTAGCTATGCAGCTGGAAGGTGCTGTGTCTGTTCCCTTGATACATATCCTAGGAACGCAGGTGGCTGGGACACCATCACCTGCCCATGTAGCACCATTGTGTAAATTTTTAAAAGTGCCCCTCTGCAACAATTGGATATCCACATCAAGAAAAAAGTGCATTGATCCTATACCTTCCACCTTATGCAAAAATTAACTTGAATCATAGACCTAGGTAGGAGAAAAAAAATATTTGCGACCTTGGGTTAGGCAAAGATTTTTCAGATGCAGCACTAAAGTGTAAAAGAAAACAAAATGATAAATTGTACTTCATCAAAATTAAAAACTTCTGATTTTTGAAAGACACTGTTACGAAAATGAAAACATAAGCCACAGACTGGGAGAAAATATTTGCAAAGCATGTGTCTGAAAAAGGAGTTGTATTCAGAATATATAAAGACCTCTCAAACTCAATAATAAGAAAATAATCCATTTAAAAAGGAGAAAAAGATTTGAATAGACACTTCAAAGAAGATTTATGGATGACAAATAAGTATGTGACAAGATGTTTAATACCATTTGCCAGCAAGGAAATGAACATTAGGACCATAATGATATAGCACTACACACTGATTAAAATGGCTAAAGTTAAAAACAAATGACGATGCCAAGTGTCAATGAAAATATGGAGGAACTGGAATTCCCATAGACTCTCACAATAATAACCCCAAACTGGGAACAACAGGTGAATGAATAAACAAATGGTGGCACATCACACAAGAGAGTATTACTCAACGATAAAAAGAAATTAGCTATTGGTATACACAACAATATGAATAAGTCTTAAAATAATTATGCTGAGTGAGAGAAGCCAGATTTGTAAAAAATGGCGTATACTATATGGTTCCATTTATATGAAATGTGAGAAAATGCCATTTAATCTACAGTGACAGAAAGCATATGAGTCATTGCCTGGGACAGGGACATGGTGAGTTAGGAGTAGGAGGAAGGAAAGTATTACAAAGGGACTAAAGAAACTTTTGGGTATGACGAATATGTTTATTAATTCGTAGTGATGGTTTCACTGGTGTACGTATATATCAAAATGTGTCAAATGATACATTTTAAATATGTGCAGTTTATCCCTGATGGCTCCTAGGAGCTCACAGCAGCATCCAGCTGTCTGTCTTTCCTTTCCTGTGGCCAGAGGAAGGAAGGTAACCAGCTGGCTGCTGTGGCCACCCTTGCGACTTCATCACCTGCATGGTAGGCTGCTGGGATGTGAGACGCGTGTTTGTGTTCTATGTGAAACCTTTGCCAAATCTATGTGAGCCCTTTGGAGTTGATGGGAAGTCACTCAAGGGTGTCAATATAGATGCCTGATGGGGAGGCAGAGGAGAATGTGTGGAGAGGAAGGAGGGTAGACAGATGATGCCAGAGAAGCCTCACAATGGGGAGGAAGAAGGCAGAAAGAGGTGGCCTAGAAAGGCCCGAGGAAGGAATTAAATTTGGCTACTTGGTCAACACGGCCCTGGTAGAATCTCTGGGAAGAAGCTGGGTCTTGGGGGTAAAGTGGTGGGTGCACAGATGACTTCATCCGACACAGGAGCCTTGGGGTCACTGGGGAGACAGCACTGGACTTAGCGTCAGACCTGAGGTCTGTATCAAACTTTGCCATAAGCTGCATAATCTTAGCAGGCTTCTTTTGCTATCTGAGCCTTGGGCTTCACAGAGGGGCCTGGGCTTGAAAGTGCACAAAGCTCCTTGTACTACTGTCATTTACTATCACAAACAACTTCATGATCTTGAGGGCCACTGCATAGCAATCCTTCTGACTCATCGTTTTTTTGTTTATTCTTTTTTCTTTTCAATCTACAGAAACGTTAATGGACACCAGAACGGCTACTGCAGAGCTGGGCTGGACGGCCAATCCTGCATCAGGGGTGAGTATCACACCATTCGTCTTTCAGTCCTGCTGTGAGTTCCTGGACCCATATGATATCTAGGAGAGTAGAGACTACCCAGAGCAGTACCTGTGGGGAATGGAATACAGGTGTGAATGGGTGTGTCCACTGCCCATCCATGTAAAGACAGCACTGGGGGTCTCAGCCTGAGCTGCTGCCTCATGTGGTGATGTAGACCATCTCTTGACACAGTCGTTTCTGAAAGCTGATACCTAGACAACTGGGGCCATGGCTGTGTGGGGATGGGGGCAGGGTGGTGACACTGAGGCAGATCAGAGATCTGTGATGCCCAAAGGGCTGCAGCAAAGGCAAAGACATGAGGGAGGAGGTAGAGTTCAGAATGGCCAAGGCTCTCTTTCACCTAGACCTTGCCTTGGAGAGACAGTCATGATTTATCTAGTGTTCATGTACCTGGTCAACTACAAAGATAGATTATCCTTGAGGAGCTCATGGCCTCCTGTGGGAACCAGTGTGTGGCAGTGGAGATTAATAGGCAGATGTGGGCACAGAGTTGGGAATGAGAAGCCATGATGTTAGACAAAAAGCCTTTATAGACAAGGTGCAAGCAAGCTGGGTTTTAGAGCATGGGTAGGAGATTGACAGATGTTGTACCAAGAGCCTGGAAAGATGTTCTAAGTAGGAGGAATGCTGGTTGAAAGGGATAATGAGATTATGAAAACACGTAAGAGGGAAGAGTCTGTGTGTATGGAACAGAGCATGGTGGAAGTGCTGCTGAGATGGGGCTGGAGGGTAAGTTGGAACCTGGAATGGTGGCGATGGACTGTGACTGCCATGCTGAGCAGGGAACTTGGATTTTATGCCATAGGTAATGGCGAGATCCTGAGCAGGAGAAGGAAATGGTCACATTTGTTGACAGACTTGTAGAGAACAGTTAAGAGAAAAGCATTTAAGAGGCTCTTTCAGCAGTCTTGGATGTGACAAAAGAATCAAGTTAAAATAGGATACGCAGAGGCTAGTTTGAGAAAAGTTAAGGAGGACAAATTGGCAATGGATGGACTATGGCAGGAAGGAGAGAAAGAGAGGGGAGATGGAGATGATGTTCATGTCCCTGACTTGGGCAGTTGGCTAATTTCAGAGCTTAATCATGAAGGGAGAAGGCAAGAGGAGGTGGGAGTGGGCTCTTTATCCCAGCCAGTGGGTGATGTCTGGCTGGGACAGGGTGGCCCTAGGCCTCCTCATCTGTCCCAGACCTTCTCTCTGCATCCCGTCCCTGTAATCTCTATACCCCATGAAGGATCTCCAGCATAGTACTTCATCACCATGCCCTGGTTCTGCTGCAGGGATGGTTCTAATTGGGACATTCGGGTCACAGGGTGGACAGTTATCTCACCTGTGCATTCTCCACTGGGTTCTCACTGTTACCCTATCCCAGCATTTGAAGAACTGCATTGCTTGAGGCATAAGCATCATGCCTTGGAACAGGGAAGCAAGGTCCAGAATGAGCTGGCATTCCCTAAAGCAGGGAGCAGGCACAGGGGCAGAGCCTGACCACACTGAACAAGTCCAAATCATGCCAGAAACACTGTGGGCAACCAGGAAAACCTTCCGACTTTTACTTGGGACTTTATGTAAAGCTGATGAGGCAGCAGTTCTTCCATATCACCTGGATATTAGGAACTTGCCGTCTTTTACAAATTAAGTTATTGTTTGAAGGTTTGTGTGTTTTTACAAGGCCCTGACATGATTTATGGTTAATTTTTCCCTTGGTTTTTATACACAACACCTGTTTTCTTTATACTTCTGATATCCTTTCCCAAGGAAGATTCTCCTTGAGGGAAACATTCAAAGTCAAGGCATGCCCTTTAGAGACAGCAGCTGCCTGGGCTCTCCCTGTTTGCCCTCCCGACTTGCTACCAGCATGCTCAGCTGCCTTTCCCCGGCACTCATTGTGAGGCAACACACAGCCAGATCATTCTTCTCCTGGTGCCCCGAGTAGCTTCTGAGTTTGTCTAGTTTACAACAACCGGGGGAGGGTCAACGTGGCCCTTGGTCTGGGTGGAAAAGGAGGACTCAAGGACTATGCTTCCATCCCAGGCCTGCTTGTCTGTTTCCTCCGTGCTCTTTCGGGACAGTACCCTCCAATTCTGTGAACACACCAAATCTGGCTCAGACTCACACGTCCAATTGCCACTTCTTTCACTGGATGCTCATGGGCATGTCAGTCTCAACGTGGCCCAAGCGGATCTCACCCCCTTTTCCTTTCCCCACCGACACATGTGCATTCTCTATCCAAATCTTAGCACATTTATAAAGGCCAGAAACCAGAAGTGATTCTTGACTTCTCCTTTTATCATCTTCAGATCTCTGCTCGTGTCCATCCTCGGGGACATGCTCTCTGCATCCCAGTCATGTTAGAGTCCTCATCACAGGTCTTCTCAGTGCCAGGGAGCTTTACCAATAGCACAATACACAGTCCCAAAGTTTACGTGTCTCTGTGTTAGAATTTGATTCACTTCTAGCCCCCCTTCAGCCATATTATAACCTCCAGGGTGGCCAGGACTCTGTGCGTTTGTTCATCGTTGGCAACTTACACCTAGTTCACTACCTGACTCAATGTTTCACTGTTGAAAGTTTCTGACTTGAGCAAGTGGGTGGATGATGGTGCCATCCTTGGAGTCAGAGGACACAGGAGGAGGAGTATGCTTGGGTGGGAAGAGGATGAGTCAATCTGGGACCTGTCAAGCTTGAAGCGTCTCTGAGGCACCCACGGGAAGGTGTGCCATCAGCATTTGACTTTGGGGCAATGGAATCAGAAGGCAGCCCCATGTCAGTGAGATGGGAGCCTGGGGCGTGGCTGCAGTCTCCCAGGGGAGTGTCCACAGGGGAAAGAGGTGAGAGCTTTGGATGGATAACCTGCACTGACGTGCCAAATAGAACCTGACGTGGAGACTGGGAAAGAGTGGGCTGGGAGCAGGAGAAAACCAAGAGGAGGTCAAGTTTTAGAAGCCAGGAGAAGAGTGTGTCAGGGAGGAGGGCACAAAAGTGGCAAATGCCTCTGGGTGTTAAACATTTCCACTGGGTTTAGCTGCCAGAAACCCTGAGGTTAAGCATACAGATGGTTTCAGAGGGGCCCAGGGCAGGAAGCCAGAAAGCAGAGAGGTGAAGAGTCAGTAGGAGGTGGGGCAGTAGAGACAGCAATTGGTAAGGGGAGGGAGGACAGAGCTTGGTAGATGGAGGGAACGAGGGGCTGTGGGTGCACTTGCCTTTCCCAGGGAAACGGCTCTTTTCCTGTTGAAATAGCAAGACACAGATAAAGGCACCTACGGAGAGCTGAGAGTGCTCAGTTTTGACATGACAGAGCCATGAAATAGAAAATTCCTCTCAGCTTCGTATCTTCTCTCTGGGTTGGAAGTGAGGTTTGGAGGGTGAGGCATGTGGAGTCCGGGTAGCAGGTGTTGAGAGGGCACAAAAGGAGCTGCTACTGAGAGCTGCAGAGAGGCTGGCCGTGTTTTGGAGGAATATGGCCAGGAGTAAGAGCTGGGTTGTGGCTGACAACTGTGCACGCATGAGGATCCTAATCCACAGGCCTCCTTCAGCTGCCTGACTGCCTGGAAGAGCTGTGGCAGTGGGATCCTCAGAGTTCTGGTTGCACAGGAAAAAATGACGGGACCGAAGGGGCCAGGGGCTGAGGACGCTGGCACCTTATTTCATGACATCTACCCCACAGGAAGGAGAGTGAGGCCAGGAGGGACTGGTGTGACCAGCCCAGGGGCCCCAGATGTAGGTCTCAATGAGGCTAAAGAACAGATGTGATGGCATGGCTGGGACTGGAGGAAGACCTGGCACCTTGACATCAGATTTAAGACACACAGAGCTCTTCCGGGTGATGAAGAGGCTCTGAGTGGATCACCGTGTGAGCTGCTAGAGCAGAGGAGGATGAACTTCACGGCACTGAGGAGCTCGGGTATTTGAGAAGCCAGGAGGCTTGGGAGAGCAGGGGTTCACCTTTTTCTGAGACCTAGTGTGGAGAAGATTGGGGAGGGAGATGGACTGTCAGCCTGAACAGGAGGGCGAGTCCTCAGATGGTTTCTCTGCAGTCAGGACACCATGCGTGGATGCTTAAGGCGGAGGTGGTGGGTGGCATTGTTCTGGAGGCCTCAAAGGAACTGGGTTTGCCTCGTCCAGAGGAGTCACACAATGCTGCCAGGGGCCCAGCTGGCATTGCAAGGGGCCCCATCCACAGTGCATAGCCTGTGTGGCAGGCTTCCCAGACCCAGAGAGAGGCCAAGGGACTCTTCCTTTTATGGGGCTTAGTGTGTGCCTTTGCTGCTGTACTTGAGAACTACCAGATATAGGAAGGGGTTGGACCACTCACCTACACAAAGCCCACAGATCGTTCCCAGTTTTATTGTTGGAAAGCAATATTACATGGCAAAACCAGAAAGTGTTCCCAGATTAAAAATGCTGCTTTATAATCGATTGCAGCACCCTGCCTTTCATTGAAGGCCTTTAGGTTTAATCTAAATCAGGGGCTATGTGGTGAACAAAGGAAAAAGGTAACAAACACATTTACAAAGTAACAAATGCCGGGGAGAGGCTGAGCTCCCACTAAAGGGCTATCCCAGGGACCGTCACTACAACCCCTGGTGACCCTTTTTGGGATGGCTTCTAGCCCAGCCCTGAAAGATTCCCTAACCTTTACATTTCTGGACCTCTAGGCAGTGGGGAGTTCAGAGAGGTCCCGTGGATAAACAGTCAGCGCCGTGCCCAGCCATGGGTAGTGCTCTGTAAACAGTAGTCTTTCTGGTTACACCTCTAGTTCTGCTGCAGTTCCTAGATGCTCCCTGGCCTCCCCACTCTGTTCCTTCTCCCCAACACTCTATCTCTCAGGTGTCAACTTTGTTCTCAGCCCCTCTGGGATGCTCCTGGATGCTCCTCCCACCATGGCTGGGGTGGGTCCCCCATTTATTTAAGCCTGGGGGGCTTAGTACCAACTTCTAACATTCTGTTCTTCACTC